GTTGCGGAGTGCGCCCCGCCCCTCGTGCCCGCCGCCGCCGCTCCCCTGCGGCAGCCGCGCCGCGTCCCCGCCGCCGCCGCCTCTGGCCGCTGCCCGCGCCCTCGCGCTCCCGGGCCGGGTCTCCGCGCTGGGCAGGGACCGCCGCCTCCCCCGCTCCTCCCCACTGCGCGGGGGGCGGCGCTGCACGGGATCCCGGGTCCGCTCGCTCGGGGACCTTTCCTTGCCGCATGAGACTCAGACCCGCTCCAGCAGACCCCAGCCTCCTCACAGAGTAAACGACAATTTGGCGGGGGCTTTTTCTTTTGTTAAGAGGACTAGTGGGCCAGTGGATGTTCGGACTCAAAGCGAAATGAAGAACCTAGAGGGGGAAATTTTTTTTTAATTAAAAAAACCTTCTCGAGCACTACACCAAACAACAAATACATACTTGCGTTTCCTATTTTGACCACTTATGAGGGAAAGCGAAAATGGAAAAGGAGAAACAGCCGAGTGGGATGAGGATGGCAGCTCAGAGGGGAGGGGGGATGCCTTAGACCCTGCCTGGCACCGAGGAGGAGCTGGGGGCTCTGGGGACGGGGCCTCCAGGGGGCTTAAACCCATTCCGACTAACCCTCCTCACACTCGTCTAGAAACAGGCCTCTCAGCTCTGAAAATAGATCCTGTCTGCCTTTATATTTCGACTTCAAAGCCTAATATATTGCAATGAGGATTAATTTTCCCAAAGCGTTCTGGAAGTCTTACACATAAGCGAAGACATGGCCGGTTATAATGTTCTGCGGGAGATTCCTGGAGGTGTATGTTGATTTAGTAACTGTTGCCTAAAATTCCCCTTAGTATTCAAACCCTGTCAGAGTGGCTGATTTTTATTATTGGTGAGACTTGCTTCATTCCATTTTGTTTAAAGGTTTTATTGGCAGCCAGCAGTGATTTCTTCAGTTTAAGACGCTAAAAATAATCAAATCTATTTTCTTTTCTAGTTATGCCCTAGTGGTTTATAAATAAAAAAGAAAAGTAACAAAGACCTCAAAATATATCGATCTGAGTGCTGAATAATACTCTTATTCAAGGTGGGAATTGGCCCTGTTTTTCCAGATAAGGAAACTCAGTTGCTGTTATAATTGGCTGGTAAGTAACAGTTATGTTTCAAACCCAGGTTTATCTGATTAGTATGCCCATATTCTTACCCCTACACATTCAACAACAACAAAAAATTTAAATGGGAAAAAAAAAATCTTTAGGATGGGCCAGTGTTTGCAGCACTTTCACTATGATCAACATTTTAGAGGCTCTCCTTTGCATGGGATAAGCAAAATCATATATTGAGTCAGAAGAAAACTGGAAGATATTAATAATATCTAGGCCACAAAGCAGTATTATTTAATAGTTAAGATGGGGCCGGGTGTGGTGGCTCATGCTGTTCTCTCCTCAGAACCAAGGAAGCAAGACTGGTTCAGTCATTCATCAATTCCTTCATGCATTCAGCAATAACCCTTGAGCACCTACTCAGGGCCACGGGTTGGGCAGGAATCTGGGATGCAAGGATAGACCTCACACTGTCCTGCCTCTGGGTGATCACGGTGTATGGGACCCACAGTGACCCCCCCCACCTCCCACTCCTAGCACTCTGGGAGGCTGAGGTAGGAGGATTGCTTAAGGCCAGGAGTTCGAAACCAGCCTGAGCAAGAGTGAGACACCCCCACTCCCCTCCAATCTCTACAATAAATAGAAAAATTAGCCAGGCCTGGTGGCCAGCGCCTGTAGTCCCAG